GGATTCACGGCTGGAATTTATGCGAAAAGTGGTGGCAAAAATCGCCGAAGTTTATGACAAAAATTTATACAGGTCCATATTCATCGTCCCATTTTGTCTTTTCACCTGTTTTATACGCATTTATGCAAATGCAAAAACATGTTTTGGCAAGACTCTGTGTTTACGTTTTGTTTGTTTGTTCGTGTATATTTTTGTGTGCGTGTATGTATTTGCGTGTTTGTATGTGTAGATATGTGTGTATGTATGTGTGTGTTTGTATGTGTATGTATGTATGTATGTATATATGTATGTATGTATTTATTATTGTATGTATGTATGTATGTATGTATGTATGTATGTATGTATGTATGTATGTATGTATGTACGGTATGTATGTATGTATGTATGTATGTATGTATGTATGTATGTATGTATGTATGTATGTATGTGTGTATGTATGTATGTATGTATGCATGTACGTATGCGTATAATAATATATGCATGTTTCGAATTTTCCATTACACGAACCAAAAAAAGAAACGAAAAAGAGTGGTTTATAAAAGAGCTCAGAAATGAATTTCTGTGTTTCCTCAGGTCCTGATGTGGGATTATCCCGGGTCCAACCGAATTAAGCTGCTTTCACTTGTGCGGCATAGACAAAGGACATGGCGCCAAAGTTTTCCAATAACGTTGACTATGGTTTAGTGATATAACGATTCATTGTGATGGGCATCAGCTGCGTGGGCATCGTTTGGTGATTTCCATGAGAACTGATTTTTGGGATGATCTTTCAAGCGCAGAAAGCATTGTTTTTGAAGGTTCATTTTTTTGTGTTTTTTTGAGGATTTATTTTTTTATAATTTCGGCACTATGGCTACGCCAGTACCTTTTGAATTTTAAGAATTTTCAAATATTTGCTTATCGTTTTACAGATATCCCGTACAACGTGGGCTGCGATGTGCTAAAATGGATGTACACGGATGAACTGAACGGCCAGGCAGATATCCATTATTTAATGGAAATATATACAGCAGCGATGAAGTTACATCTTGTTGATTTACAGAAAAAGTGAGGTTTTTTTGAGTTCAAAAATTGAGATCAGAAATTTCACCCCTATTTGCTATCTTTGAGAGTCGGAGATATTCCGAAAAG